GAACGCGAGCACCACGAACCCTTTCCATGCCCGACGTGACAACGAGTCTTTAAAAATTACACATGGCACTGGGTTGGTGGTATAAAACAACGTTGTTGGCGTACGTCCGAAAGACCGGAAGTAATCTTTCGCATGCATCAAAACGCTAACAAATCGGCCAGACCTGTAAAGCGCGTACGCCACACTAAAGAGTTTACACACCGACTATGCATAAATTGAGTGACTGATAAATGACTGTAAACCTGTTTTTTTTTAAATGATATTTTAGTGAAGAAGTAACAAAACAAGCATTATTGAATTCAGTTCTTAGCGTGTATAGGAAGTCTTTGGTACAGTGGTCTCATCTCATTATTATGTTTACCGAAGAAAATGGTAAACATATTGTTTTTGCTCAGTTTCTTATTCCTCTTCCTCTTCTTCCGTTCCAAACACCTAAAAAACGTCGATATTTTCGTAATTAGAGCCTGGAGGAAAATGAAATGTTCGACTCACAGCCAATCCCCCATGGCAAAACCGAGAACATGACCCTGTTGTAAAACCTAATATGTTAGTCTACGAATCATTCGTAGTAATGGTATAATGACAACTGTTAGTGAGTTCTTAGTTAACGAACGTTAATTTGCAGTTTCCTGATTGTTGGACATTACAGTTTCGTGACTGACTGATATGTGGGATCAACTAATTGGAGACGAATTAACTGAAGTTTTGTCCACATGTATGTTGAAGAAACATGGCCTTATATAGATATCTTACAAATGGACAAAACTTCATGTAATTCGTCTCCAATTAGTTGATGGTGGTTAACGGTAATTATAATCCATGTTTGTCGCATTATTGTCCCCCCACCCAGTCTGTCAGGATCGGCTTGGAATGGAGTCTGGTGCCATACCTGATAGCAGCATCACTGCATCTTCGGTCTGGACTTCACATCACGAGCCCTTCCGTGCACGGTTAAACGGAGTTGCTGGAGGCGGCTGGGTAGCCGGAACCAACGACATCGGGCAATGGCTGCAGGTACACAGTTTGATGAACTGAAAAAAAAAATCATTCCTGCTAAAAATGCATTACATTGCGCAACTGTTGCCTATTCAAAAACACGAAAATCCATTTGATTTAATATAAACGTACTCTTAACTGTTAAGTTACCTGTTTTAGCTACTGACGAATGATGTTATTGGGATAAACTAAAACAGCTCTATTGTACTTTGTTACACTGCAACATAATCATTATACATTTTACATTTCAGGTGGATTTAGGGGAGCTGACGCGCGTCAAGGGCGTCATTACACAGGGTCGTCAGCGGGATTTCGCACAATGGGTGACGTCGTACAAACTCCATTACAGTGTAGATGGGACTACTTGGGCGACATACGCCAGCAGTGATGGCTCAGATAAGGTAACGTAGATACTACAATATACGTACTTAAATGTAGCTAGTAATATATGAGTCATATCCACTTTAAAATGTGACGCGCTCTTACAAAGCTGTCGAAACTTAATTGCACTGTACTTGTCCTCTGCGTTTGTGGCGACAAAAAAAAAATCAAGTGTTTTGTCACCACGTCTAGTATTGAAATAAAAAAGCGGTCCCCAACTGATCACATTTTCAATTTCAATTTAATTTTCCCCTTCGAAAATGTTTTTGGCAAATGTCGAACCTTGGCCAACGTAAAGGTGCCTAATTATGGCACATGTATGGAAGTCGGCAGTCCAGGTTAACCTTAATGAATACTCACCAGAAAGTGTAACTATGTCCTCATCTGAATCGTTCTTTTAGGTTTTCACAGCCAACACGGATAACAACACACCAGTAACCAAATCTAACTGGACAACCCAGTTGTTGCCCGTTTTGTGCGCTTCGTGGTTCAGTCCTGGAATAATCACATCACCATGAGGGCGGAGATTCTAGGCTGCAGCACTGACAGTAGGTTTCTGTTGCCGTCTTGGTTAGAGTCTAGCTCACTTGCCTGACAGCAAATACAGATCACAGGTGGTGGGATGTAGTCCATGGAGAAAAATTGGCTTCTAGCCATTCATGTCATAGGGTCAAGGGAAAGGGGTACAGAGTCAAGAAAAGTGTCATTTCTAGTATTGTTGATCTAGTTTATTAAATAGTTATTATTCAAAATGAAATAAAAATTATATCAAGCTGAAAATTTACAGGATCTAAATATCTCCTGCCGTTGTATNCAAAGCTGTCGAAACTTAATTGCACTGTACTTGTCTTCTGCGTTTGTGGCGACAAAAAAAATCAAGTGTTTTGTCACCACGTCTAGTATTGAAATAAAAAAGCGGTCCCCAACTGATCACATTTTCAATTTCAATTTAATTTTCCCCTTCGAAAATGTTTTTGGCAAATGTCGAACCTTGGCCAACGTAAAGGTGCCTAATCATGGCACATGTATGGAAGTCGGCAGTCCAGGTTAACCTTAATGAATACTCATCAGAAAGTGTAACTATGTCCTCATCTGAATCGTTCTTTTAGGTTTTCACAGCCAACACGGATAACAACACACCAGTAACAAATCTACTGGACAACCCAGTTGTTGCCCGTTTTGTGCGCTTCGTGGTTCAGTCCTGGAATAATCACATCACCATGAGGGCGGAGATTCTAGGCTGCAGCACTGACAGTAGGTTTCTGTTGCCGTCTTGGTTAGAGTCTAGCTCACTTGCCTGACAGCAAATACAGATCACAGGTGGTGGGATGTAGTCCATGGAGAAAAATTGGCTTCTAGCCATTCATGTCATAGGGTCAAGGGAAAGGGGTACAGAGTCAAGAAAAGTGTCATTTCTAGTATTGTTGATCTAGTTTATTAAATAGTTATTATTCAAAATGAAATAAAAATTATATCAAGCTGAAAATTTACAGGATCTAAATATCTCCTGCCGTTGTATGTATAACAGTTGATGGCGGTTGGTCCGACTGGTCATACCATGTGTAGTAAACTGTTATGAAATCTACACCACAGCCACTCCTCACGACATATTCGAAAACATAACCTTTTTGTTGAACCTATTAAATCTGTGGACAAACGTTAATTTCAAGTTTGCTGATTGTTATGTTTACCGAAGAAAGCGGTAAACATATTGTTATGTTTACCGAAGAAAGCGGTAAACATATTATATTTGCTCAATTTCCTCTTCTCCAAACACCTAAAAATCGTCGATATTTTCGTAATTAGAGCCTGGAGGAAAATGAAATTAAGCATGTTGGTAGGTTGGTACATAACACACTAAACCACGGTATTTTTTATCAACATGGATGTCAAAAAATGATTTTATTGGCAACAAATGGGTGAAAAAAGTTGCATTTTAAGCCAAAAATCGAACAAAAAGAACGCGTTTGGAACTTTAGAACCATGGAACAGCATTCGAATTCCGAGTTCGATAACCGCGGGTCAATGACCCCAGCACTACGGAACACCCGAGCTTTCCAAATATGGGCATCCGCTGTCGTATGACACAGGAAGAGATCGGTGGACCAGTGTCAGTGGTAAGTTTTCCTTTTTCTTCGTAAAATACGGCCATATGAATACCAGTCTCGAGTATAGAATATTGCATGGAGGTTTTGGGTTCAATATCCACAAGTAGGACTGCAGATTTCCACAGAAAGCCGGCGACTTTGTTTATGAAACTTTTTGTATGTCACATACACTCCCCAGTCCTGACTTGATAGAATCTCATATGCATATAGTAAACAGAATTTTGAACGTCACTATTTTTGCTCATCCGTAACTATTGTCGACTTTGTAATGTAGTCGCGGGGCCCCGGGGGCATTTGTTTGCGTTTCTGACACATAATGTAACATTACATTTTGTCGTTTTGTCAGACAGTTTCAATCTTTTTCGGGATAATACAGTACAGTTCATGGGATCATCAAATCCGGTTCATCATCGGGATATCAAGCGGGATTTTTTGAGAATTCCACGTCGACTAAGATTTTTACAGACAGACGGTGCAGCGCATGTTTGTTTCCAATGCATAATGATAACAGTAGCACAAACGAATAGTTTTTAATCATGTAACTTTTTTTCTTACTATTGGAAAATCTGGTGGCTTGATAATGTTTAGAACGATAACAAAATAATACAACCTTCTTGGTACGAGGATTTCTGTCTGACCTTGCGATGTGGACGGCCCGCTAAGTACTGCTTTTGATGTCACCCGACCCGCGCTATCTCAGATATAACGTTCAAATCTAACACATCCACGTGCCATGTCGCCAGTCGAGAAGTTATTTATTTTTCTCCTAAATAGGGGAGGTCGACGCACGGAGTTGCGAAAGAGAGATAAAACATCATAGAAAAGAGGGGGGCGAAGCATAATTCAAAGGTTCTTACGCCCCTTGGCTTTGTTTACGCCGATCAAGAATATTGCTACATTTCGCGTTGCTGTGACTGGCCACGTTGCCATAGAAACGGCACGTACGCAGCATGGCTAGCAGACCGCCCGGCGCCCAATCATAGCGCACAGACGGGGACCCGCCCACTCGCTGGGCCTCAAGATTTCCAACTCAAATGCTCCGCTCCATTGCTCAGTCCTACACGCGGCATAATGATCGTATTTTTCTCATCCCGATTTCATTCCAAAACGTTTTTCTCAACTGACATCGAGAACTAGAATGCCTTTCCCACCGAATGAAACTTTGCCAGCCGTGTGGAAGTACATTTGTACTTGCTTTCAGGGTAATACGTACGTGAATCGTTGTTGATATGCAAGTGTATGTACGTGTTTGGGGAGGGTGAGACGCACGCCCCGGGACTTTGATAGGAAAACTTGCCTAATTTTCGTAACACAGCCACATCAACAAGTACAAGATGTCACAATGTAACACAACAACTCCAGCCGGTACGCCCCATTTTATTTGATGGTTTATAACGGGTTATTTACTTGCCGAAAAATTCACCGGAGACAAGGTGATTATTACGAATTCATTCCTGCTACACATAGTATTTTCTTACAGATTTTTCGTGAGTTTTTCGCTGCACAATATCTTTGTAAAAAAGGTAGCAGTTCAACTATGACCGCATGAGGAACGCATTATATTTATTTATACACAATATTTTCGTACACTCCTGTGCTTAACCACCGGTGAATAAAAATTATAGCAATGTTGACTGACGTCAGGGTGCTTCATTGGGCCTGCCCAGATCGCCCGACAGGACGTAAAAAATAAACATCGCCGCCGCTATCGGTGATAGGATCCGCGATAGACATGGATATCGCGCACCAAGTTTTTTTGCTCCGCGGTACGCAGGACGCGGATATCTCGCGGGATTTATCGGGACGCCTATCCCGAAAAATTCCGCAGCCCGATGATGCATATATCCCGTGAAGTTCTCTCTATAAACATAATAAGGATAATTGCCTATAGGAATTTGACAGAAGAAATAGTGTACTGTTGGGGCTTCAATGTATATAAAGAAATATGTGAACGCATCGTTTCACTAAATTTATAACGTCTTCATTATTTTTATTTTCAATTTCTCCCGCCGAATCTCGCGCTTGTGAGTTATTTTTCAGCGGTTATACATGTAGACATTATCAGTTTCTGCTCACTTCTGAAATGCTTACTCTCCTGTTTGTATCCTCTAGGTTGGACCTCTGCTAGGAAAGGAAGAAGAACTTGGTCTGGGGAGGAACCTAACAGAGCTGAACCCGGCCATCCACAGAATGATACTTACTTACTTACTTAATCCTCTTCGCTCCCTGTGGAGCATAAGGCGCTGACAAACTTCCTCCATCCACTTCGGTCCTGGGCCAGCCAGCCGATCTCATGCCAGGTCTTTTTGGCCGCTTTCATTTCTTCTTTCACTGTCCTTCGCCATGTCCCTAGGGGCCTGCCTCTCTTCCGCTTTCCTTGGGGAGTCCATCTGAGGGCGACGTACGGGTGTCTATTCTTGTTCATGCGTAGGATGTGCCCTAGCCATTTCCAGCGTCTGTGTTTGACCTCTACCACGATGTTCGGGATACCTGTGCGTCTGCTGACTTCCTTGTTGGTAATTCTTTGCTCCCAATGTATCTTTAAAATCCTCCGGAGGCATCTACCTTCGAAGCCCCTGAGGCGGCTCTCGATCTTCTTGTTTGTCCTCCACGTTTCTGCTGCATACAGAAGAACCGAGCGAACGTTTGAGTTGTAAATCCTAAGTTTGGTCTTCTGCTTCAACGCTGATGACTTCCAGACGTAGACATTTCGAAGTTTAGTGAAAGCTTGTGCTGCCAGGCCAAGTCTGGTGGAAACTTCCTTCTCGATGTTGCTATCCGCTGAAATATAACTGCCGAGGTATTTGAAGTCCTGTACTTCTTCTAATTCCTGTCCACGTATACTCGTCTTTGCTGTGCTTTTGTTTTTAACCTTCATTATTTTGGTCTTGTCTGAGTGTATTTTGAGCCCCACGCTACTTGCTTGTACGTGTTGATCTACGCTGTTTGTCTTTTCCTGGATGTCCTTCTGAATGTGTGAGAGCAGGGCAATGTCGTCTGCGAAATCACAGTCTTCAAGCCTGGCCGAGAGTCCCCAGACAAGTCCTCTCGGTTGTCCTGTGGTGGCTCTTCTCATCACCCAGTCGATGACAACGAGGAAGAGAACAGGGGAGATCACACAGCCCTGTCTGACTCCGGTCTTTACATGGAACCACTCACTGTGCTGACCTTCGTGGCGAACACAGCACTGGTTTTTGGCATACATGTCCCTTAAGATATTTACAAATTTTAGCGGAAACCCGTATGCTTGAAGTATTCTCCATAATGAAGCATGATGTATACTGTCGAATGCTTTTTCGAAATCGATATAGTTGATATAAAGTGAAGAGTTCAATTCCAATAACTGTTCAACGATGGTACGTAGGACAAAAATCTGGTCTGTACAGCTCCTATACCCCCCTGAAGCCAGCCTGCTCTTCGCGTAGAACCTTGTAAATGGAGCGTCTTACACGCTGCAGGAGAACTCTACAGAAAATCTTTCCAGTGACTGATAGGAGATTGATGCCTCTCCAGTTACCACAAACGGACAGGTCACCCTTCTTCGGCAGTTTGACAATAATGCCTGTTTTCCAGAAGTCCGGTACCTTCTCGTCCTCCCATACTCTGTTAAAGAGTTTTATTAAGGCCCTAGCTGACACTACTGGATCTGCCTTTAACATGTCCGCTGTTACCCTATCCTCACCTGGTGCTTTGTTCGCCTTTGTTTCTTTTATGGCGCTTGCAATTTCCTGAAGTGTAATCGGACCACGTCTCATCTCTATGTTGAACCCCATGTCCTCAATGACTGCTTCAGACTCAGGAGCTGGTCTGTTGAGTGTTTCTCTAAAATGCTCTGCCCATCTATCTAGCTGATCCTTCCCATTCATTAGCACCTGCCCGTTCTTGTCTTTTACTGCTGTAGTTCTATTATTAAGTCCTCCTGTTAGTTGTTTAGTGATCTTATACACAGACCTTGAGTCACCCATCTCGGCAGCTAACTGTGCCTCGTTTGCGAGGCCATCCATGTATTCGCGTTTGTCTCTTCTAGCGCTTCTTTTAACTTCTGTATTCTTTACTCGGTAGATTTTGGTTGCTATGCTCCTTTGTCTCGCACTCCCTCTAATAAGCGTATGTTGTTTAGCTACCTTTCTGTCCTGTATGAGCTTCCAGGTAGCGTCTGATATCCACTCTTTCCTCTGCCGTTTACGGTATCCCAGCACCTCTTTACTAGTGTCTGTGAATACTTGGTGCACCCTATCACACGCGGTGTCGATGTCATCTACCGGTAGGTCATCAAGTACCTGAAACCTGTTCTTCAGTTCTACAGCAAACTCTTTCTTTACTAGTGGGTCCTTGAGTTTCCCTGAGTTAAAGAGTGGTTCACTTTTATCCTTCTTTGCCTTTCTTAGTTTGAGTTGTAGTTTGCACAACAATAGATGGTGGTCACTACTTGCATCAGCACCCCTAATGACCTTGACATCTCGTAGGGATCTCCTCCATTTTCCGTTTATACAAATGTGGTCAATCTGGTTACTCGTTCTCCCATCTGGGGATACCCATGACAGCTTGTGAATGTGTTTGTGTCGAAAAACTGTACCCCCTATCACCATGGAGTTTTCCATACAGATATCCACGAGCCTTTGTCCATTTTCATTCCTTTCACCAACACCTTCTCTACCCATACAAGCTTCAAATCCATCGTTATCCGCGCCTACCTTAGCGTTAAAGTCCCCCATAAGAATGAGAGTGTTATGTCGCGGTGTTTTGTCTATCTGAGCTTGAAGACTAACGTAGAAAAGATCTTTGTCCTCGTCTGTGGCCTGCTCAGTTGGTGCATAGCACTGAATGATAGTTGTCTTTACATATTTGGAGTAAAACCTTGCTCTAATGATACGCGAACTAACTGGCTCCCATCCTAGCAAGCTTTTCTTTGTCTCTCTGTCCATGATGAGACCTACTCCCTCCTGGTGTTGACCATCTGTTCTGCCTGAGTAGCATACTGTTTCGCCTGAGCTTAGGGTCACTATACCAGAGTCGGTCCATCTCATTTCGCTTACTCCAAGGATATGTTCAGCCTGTATCTTTCCATCTCTTTTACTACTTGCACTGTTTTACCTGTCTCGTACATGGTGCGGACATTCCAGGTTCCAATTCTAATTTGATGTTTGGGTTTTGCCAAAGACTCCCACAGAATGATACAGCACATCGCAACTATTTCTAGAAAAACATTATATCTCCTATTCCGCCAGTAAACATTTATTATTTATGTTAAGTTGCATAATACATGTAAGTCCTGTAACACAGTTATAGCTTTTTAAGAATGTATGTATGGTTTTATAGAGTGTGTAGCTGCCAATATTTTACACAACTGTAGATTTTCATTATCATTGATTTTAAAGATTTTCATTGATTTTTCATTGATTGATTTCAAAGAACACTTATTATAGAAGTGGGTAAATTCACTGGCTCGGCAATCAATAAAACAAGTAAAACCCAACAAAACTGGCTTGATATATATCGTACTGCAGTATAAAGACTAAAGTGTACTGAAGGAATTATTTCTTCATATCATTTTATATCATTTCATCATATGTATGATATACATACTCACAATTAGCCTCCTGTCATGCATTTGTAGTAATGATAAACTTATCATCATTATTATTTCAGCCTACGTCCTATTTTCTATTTACAAAAATGCAATAAGGTTGTGAGACGAACGCAACAAAGTCATTTGTAATTAAAGTTGTCAAAAAGATTCGAAGTTTACTTGGAGTCTGCAGAGGTTGTCATTAATTAGGTTTACATGCTGTGGCCTAATTGCAAATATGGTAATAGTGTGTGCTGAGTGAATCATTTGTACTGTGGTATGTAACGTTACAATCAATTATATCTCCTATACACGACACTTTTAAGTATTTAAAAATACTAGTCTATGGTAGTGATCTTTGTGGGGCAGACGGGTAGATTTTAAACTTCATCCTTAGCCTTACAAGGGCAAAAACATTCAAATCCCCCAGTTATAACGTTAATGTTACTCTATAATACTCAGTACATTAAAGTCAGTAATACATTTGTATTTCTACCCATCCTTTCCCAATAAAGGTAAAACGTTAAATCGTTGGCAAGACCATCTTGAGGTAAACATATTGCATTTGCTTGCAAATGTTAACTTTCTAGTTTTTGCTCGATTTCTTCCTCTTCTTCCGTTCCAAACATCTAAAAAACGTCGATATTTTCGTAATTAGAGCCTAGAGAAAAATGAAATTCAGCGTGCTAGTAGATTGGTATGTTAGACATTGAACCTTGGTCATTTTGGCCAACATAGATGTCAAAAAATGATTTTATTGGCAAAAAATGGGTGAAAAAGTTGCATTTAAGCCAAAAATCGAACTTAAGAACCTGTTTGGAATTTTAGAATCAACGTTCGAAATTGGAATAGGGTTCGATACGGCCGCGGGTCAACGACCGCGCGGCCGCGCCGAGGTGGCTGTGCGTTCGATCTGCGGGCGCAGGTCAAAACCACAGCGAGCGAGTTAAGCCTCAAGCCCCTGGCGCGGCAGTCATAAGTTAAGCCTCGAGCCTCTGGCGCGGCATTCATAACCATTTTGGGCAGAATAAATATGTGATTATATTTTCCTGTGACAAGTAACCAAGCTACCTAACGTCGACGCCATAATTTGTCGGTAATCTCCTGGCTTTGGAATAACAGACGGCTGCGGCATACTACTAGATATATGTGTGAAAATTATTGATCAGAACCACGAACGCGAGCACCACGAACCCTTTCCATGCCCGACGTGACAACGAGTCATTTAAAATTACACATGGCACTGGGTTGGTGGTATAAAACAACGTTGTTGGCGTACGTCCGAAAGACCGGAAGTAATCTTTCGCATGCATCAAAACGCTAACAAATCGGCCAGACCTGTAAAGCGCGTACGCCACACTAAAGAGTTTACACACCGACTATGCATAAATTGAGCGACTGATAAATGACTGTAAACCTGTTTTTTTTTAAATGATATTTTAGTGAAGAAGTAACAAAACAAGCATTATTGAATTCAGTTCTTAGCGTGTATAGGAAGTCTTTGGTACAGTGGTCTCATCTCATTATTATGTTTACCGAAGAAAATGTTCAGTTTCTTATTCCTCTTCCTCCTCTTCCGTTCCAAACACCCAAAAAAACGTCGATATTTTCGTAATTAGAGCCTGGAGGAAAATGAAATGTTCGACTCACAGCCAATCCCCCATGGCAAAACCGAGAACATGACCCTGTTGTAAAACCTAATATGTTAGTCTACGAATCATTCGTAGTAATGGTAGAATGACAACTGTTAGTGAGTTCTTAGTTAACGAACGTTAATTGGCAGTTTCCTGATTGTTGGACATTACAGTTTCGTGACTGACTGATATGTGGGATCAACTAATTGGAGACGAATTAACTGAAGTTTTGTCCACATGTATGTTGAAGAAACATGGCCTTATATAGATATCTTACAAATGGACAAAACTTCATGTAATTCGTCTCCAATTAGTTGATGGTGGTTAACGGTAATTATAATCCATGTTTGTCGCATTATTGTCCCCCCCCCCCAGTCGTGTCAGGATCGGCTTGGAATGGAGTCTGGTGCCATACCTGATAGCAGCATCACTGCATCTTCGTTCTATAATTCACGTCACGAGCCCTTCCGTGCACGGTTAAACGGAGTTGCTGGAGGCGGCTGGGCAGCCGGAACCAACGACATCGGGCAATGGCTGCAGGTACACAGTTTGATGAACTGAAAAAAAAAATCATTCTTGCTAAAAATGCATTACATTGCGCAACAGTTGCCTATTCAAAAACACGAAAATCCATTTGATTTAATATAAACGTACTCTTAACTGTTTTAACAGTTGCCTGTTTTAGCTATTGACGAATGATGTTATTGGGATAAACTAAAACAGTTCTATTGTACTTTGTTACACTGCAACATAATCATTATACATTCTCTTCTTCGTAAACTCCGAAGAGAACTAAGTTTCCTGTCTATTCACAAACTGGACAGACACATGGGTAGGGTAGGTGTGCGCACGCCACGGTTGAGTGTTTATTTATATGGAACACGGGTAGCCGAACATGGATAACGGGATATAATGAAGGTATCAGAAGGCACAAGTGACCAGGCACTAGGTAATGACGGTTCTTATTATGACAGTTTACATTATGTGGTCCGAGTGAGGAACAATAAGGTATATACCAGTTTACGTTATCTGGTCCGGATGACGAACAATAAGGTAGATAAACAGTTTACATTATCTGGTCCGGATGACTAACAATAAGGTAGATAAACAGTTTACATTATCTGGTCCAAGTGACGAACAATAAGGTAGATAAACAGTTTACATTATCTGGTCCGGATGACTAACAATAAGGTAGATAACAGTTTACATTATCTGGTCCGAGAGACGAACAATAAGGTAGATAACAGTTTACATTATCTGGTCCAAGTGACGAACAATAAGGTAGATAACAGTTTACATTATCTGGTCCGAAGAGACGAACAATAAGGTAGATAACAGTTTACATTATCTGGTCCAAGTGACGAACAATAAGGTAGATAACAGTTTACATTATCTGGTCCGAGAGACGAACAATAAGGTAGATAACAGTTTACATTATCTGGTCCAAGTGACGAACAAAACGGTAGATAAACAGTTTACATTATCTGGTCCAAGTGACGAACAATAAGGTAGATAAACAGTTTACATTATCTGGTCCGGGAGACGAACAATAAGGTAGATAACAGTTTACATTATCTGGTCCGAGAGACGAACAATAAGGTAGATAACAGTTTACATTATCTGGTCCAAGTGACGAACAAAACGGTAGATAAACAGTTTACATTATCTGGTCCGGGTGACAACAATAAGGTAGATAAACAGTTTACATTATCTGGTCCAAGTGATGAACAATAAGGTAGATAAACAGTTTACATTATCTGGTCTGAGAGAGGAACAATAAGGTAGATAAACAGTTTACATTATCTGGTCCGAGAGAGGAACAATAAGGTAGATAGCAATTTACATTATCTGGTCCGGGTGACGAACAACAGGGTATACAAACAGTTTACATATCTGGTTCGGGTGACGAACAAAAGGTAGATAACAGTTACATAACTCTTGGGCAAGGAAAAACGGGCGACCGGGTTAGGTGCGGAAGAGGGGGCTGGGCGGGGAGGGGTACTCAACCGCTCACTATGAAGTGGCGACGACGAATGAGGATGAGTCGGAGGGTAGGTAGGGGGTAGGAAGTGAGGACCAATAGGAGAGGGTTCCGGATGGGGGAACATCCGCCCAGTTTGTGAGCCGACAGGAAACGTGATTTGTACATTTCAGGTGGATTTGGGGGAGCTGAAGCGCGTCAAGGGCGTCATTACACAGGGTCGTCAGGAGTGGTATTACGCACAATGGGCGACGTCGTACAAACTCCATTACAGTGTAGATGGGACTACTTGGGCGACATATGCCAGCAGTGATGGCTCAGATAAGGTAACGTAGATACTACAATATACGTTCTTAAATGTAGCTAGTAATATCACGGTGGTTTGATTCGGGCCCCAATGTCCCCACATGCTGTAGAACCCGAACCGTGTTCGATCTGACGTAATTCGAATCGAACGACGTTCGATCTGGTGTCACCCGCGGTCATTTACAGTAAACCGGGGGTTTCAGGCCCTTTTTACATGAACGCCTCCTAACAAAAAAGTCACAATATATCACAAAAC